GCCAATCTCCCCCCTCCAAGAAAAAGAAAAATTTTGCCTCTCTGCAATTACTGACAATCTGAAAACTTTACAAACAGCAGAACATTTTTATTGAAGGATGTTTTACATAATGTAAAGGTAATCCTTCTGCAAGGGCCTGAATGGCAGTTATAAGGACTGGGTCAAAATTTAGGGGTTTAACACCAACCAAAGTCTTACATAACTGCAACAAGCATTTTATACCATGCTTCCCACACTCTATGTTTCCCCTACTCATCCCAAACCCTGATACTCCTGATTGCACCCCACACTGTGCTGTTCCCTGCACCCTACCCCCAGCCTCACCCCTGCTATCCTTGCTTCTTCCAAAATGGCATCAATCCCCACCACTGCCCCTTCTTGCCTCCCCCACCACATTCCATCCGGGCAGCAACTGTTGGTATCCTTTCACTTCGGTGCCTGGGGCAGTTGCCTCACTTGCCCCTCCCTTGCTAAGATACTGGCTATAGCACCCATCTCCTCTGAAAGCAGCACATGGCATACTCTCTCAAAAAGGTTTGGAAAGTGACAGCAGAAGGCATTGGCTATGGTGCTACAATCTTTAAGGTTGTCTTTAAGCCCACATCCAGTGATCATCTACTTCAACCTCTAAACTCAGTCCCCAGTGACAGTTCAGCCCAGCCCAGCCCAGCCTCAGTTTATCTGAATTTCAGGGTACAATGCTGACAGCAACCTGCTCAATTTCCATTCCATCTATTTCTGAAGTGTATTTCACCCTCATCCAGGCACAGCACTCTTCAAGTAGAAGAACTCAGCCAGCAAGTCTTTATTCCTGACTTTCAGAAACACCCCATTTCCTGTCTCTCCTGCCCATAATTCGAGCCAAGTACAGGAAGAGACCCAACTAATTTAAACGTGGGAGCCCTCGGAGAGTTCTACTTGAAGTATGCTATGGAGGTATAGTGCTGGCCATAAAGTAGGATACTGGTAAATAGAAATTGTTCAAATATCTTGGACTGGTTGAGGACAACCTTCTGGGCTAACCCTACAAATTACAGTAGAAATATTCACTGCGTTTTCCTGAAGCATAAAGTTTCGCAGCACTACACCTCTATGCTTTCCCCTACCACCCAAGACACCATTCTGCCTTTGGCACAGATGAATACATTCAAAACAAAGAATTGCTGCCAGGCTTGGCAAACTGTTTCTTAATTTAGGCCATTTCTAGACTAGAAAACTGTGGTTTTGACAGTATGGCAGCTAAAATGTCTTAACTAACACTGTAAAAAACTGTGTAGACAGTTTAGTGCTTTTAAATAGGTTACTAGCCACAGACTCCCTCACTGTTGACCACGACAAATTAGCATGTTTTAATTAAGTCACTAGTTTTTAAAAACATGTTAGATATATGGTTTAAAACACACACACACACACACACACACACACACACACACACACACACACACACACACACACACACACACACACAATCTTTTCCTAACAGAGACAAGACCTCAATTTACTCCAAATTCCCAACTTCGTGTCCTTGCCTTTCTCATTTGTATTCAATTCCTCTCTCTTTTTAGGAACATGAACAGATGTCTTAAATATGTTTATTTTGCTTGCTCCAGTGGCTTTATTCAACCTATTCCCCACACTGAATTTGAAAGTTTAGTTTTAATGAGTGTAATGTGCATTCCTCAATGTATGAAATGGTACAATACAATGGCATGTGTGAATCATGGTTACCATCAAGAATGCCATGTTTATTAAAATTCAATTAAGCACATGAGTAGCACATATTCAGTTTATTACAAATATTATATTCAGGACCAGATTAAGCTAATTCCAGGTTTGGGCTCCAAAAATAAATGTTCATCACCTTAGCATCCATTGACCTAGACACAGCTCAAACATTTAAACTGGAAGAAAGGACAGGGGATGGAAATACTTACAACTATTATCTCTGCATTTTTGCACAAAGAAATTATTAGTTTTAGAGACCTGAAAAGCTTACCCTGTAAAGGATATTTTTGTAAAAGTATGGGTTTTGGAAGTAAATTCCAAAGAACCCATGCATACTAATGTCAAGGGAATATAATTTTACTGAGTAATAAGTCCCCTTTGATTCCAAAGGCCCACAAATGAAACCACTATTTAAATGCAGAGAACAATCTATAAGATTTATAATTGAATTCAACATAGCTGGACAAGAAAAGGTGGCAATACCATTTGCCAAGAAAATTCGAGTTGAAGTTTTACCTGTCAGATTTTTTTCACTCTTATTTATAGACCATTTGTTATGTACTTATGTTGGGATTTTCTAACATACCCTGGAGATTCAGGCACACATATCCCCTTGACTTTCAACAGGAGTTTATACTCTTAAACCTCCATAGGTACTTTTGACAAATCTCCCCTGAGAGTCTGCACAGTTATCATGGCAATTCCTGCCCTAAGGGGCTAACATGAGGTTATATATAAAAGAATGAGAAATGCTAGAAGAACCAAAGGAAAGCAGTTACATCTATAACTTCTCTTTATAATCAAACCTCCCATGGAGAGAAATAATTTCTTCATGCAAAAACATAAGGGTAATCATTCCTCCTCTTTCTACTTCCTCCTTCTCAGCGTGAAACATCAGTATGCCTCATTCAAGGGTTTTCAAGGAGGCCTGGGCCCTCATGTTTAAATACTAAGAATCACAAAATTGAGTTCTTTTCAATGGATATTTCACTGCACATATAGGATGTTCTTAAAGGTTACCATGGAAAAAAACTTCAGGGGTGGCAGCAGAGGAAAGAGATAAAGGTAACAAGAAAGATGACTTAAGTGTTGAGGAAGGATATAACTGGATAGGAGATGGCACATTCATATCATAAGTTTTGTAGGGCCTAAAAGTAAGGCTTGGAAGTTAAAACTTTATATAGTGGATAACTAGTAGTTTGTAGAACAATCCACAGAGAGAAGTCCTAATTTATCTTACCTTGTTCACATAGTTTCTTGGTAAGAGAGCCTTCATCTTGAAAATAAATAATTCGCTTCTGCACAATACTGGCCCTGTTGATGAGGAACACAGCTTTAATGAAATACATTCATTCCTTCAAATGAATGGCAGAGCAGTGAATGGACATCACAGGACTTTCTTGAAACATTTTGTACAATCTGATGCATCACAAAGTATCTCTCTGAAAGTCTGTCAAGGAGCCAACTCTTCATTTATTTTATTTGATTTTATTTTGTTGCCAAGAGAACCATGTTTTAAGAACTCCATTTTATTCAAATAGTTTTCTCTGGGCTGAGTAATATTAACTAAAATCTAGGCACACTCCTCACTGTAGATGTATACAATGCTATAGTTTTACTTTTACTTCAAGTGGCATTTGATTTTCCTTATAAATAGCAAAAACTTGAAATGTTGATACCATATAAAGAATGATCAGTCATATTGTACCGCGAATCTGTGTTTCTAAAGTGTATGGCATTCAGCTGAGTGTCACAAATTATATCTGAGTTAAGAAAAACAATACTGCTAAAACAAGCAGCTATTTATAAAAAATTACTTGGCATTTTGAAGAGTGAGATGTTTCCAATATGCTGCAAGAATTTAATGCAAATATAATACAGACTTTATATACATAAGCAGCATCACGCTAAACTCCTTCAAAGGGCAACCCAACCTTGAAAAAACATATTAAAACTAATAACATTTATAATATTTTATTAATGCTTAACATCAACACACTGAGTTTGTAAACTCCAATTTGTCTTGGGATTTTGAATATAAATAAGATAAAAGGGAAACTACTTAGAGAAAAGCCACAGTTGTATCATTGATTGTACTCATGAGAGATAGCTGTATTATATGTATTTATATCTAAATAAATGCCTCCTTCCACAGGGGAAAAAAAACTCAGAGCAATAGGTTCCCCCCATAGGGTATCAGAAATAACATGCATTGTGTTTGATCCCAAAGCCCCTCTCAGCCTATGGAATATAATTTCCATTGAGTTTAAGGAGTTTGGGGCAGACCCATTATGTTTGAAATACCAAAGCCACAAAACTGATAGCTAAGGGAAATTACCTATAGAAAGAGTTATGAAATTCAGCAAAATGCATTTGAGGATTTTTAATTTGACCTTTTGAAATGCTTATTTGTATTTCTAGCTTTGGTTTTTAACAACTCTGCACATTTTACTCTTGAGCACACACTTCTACTCTTTTCAGACTCTGCTTGCTTCAAGGAGACAGCACAGGCTCTTTGTTTCTCCTTTGTAAGTCTGTTGCATTAACAAGATTCCTGAAGGTCAGAGGGCATGTAGAGCTTGCTCTGACCCTAAAAACTCTGGCCATTGGGCTGATATATCTGGGGTTTGGGGTTTTGTTTTTGTTTTTTGCTTGTTCAATGACAGAATCAAGTTTAGAGAGGCTTTCTTAATTTACTGCTCTCACTCAATACTCTCTGGCATTCTTCATCTGTTAAATAGCTTCAAGTAAAAGTACAACAAAATAGATCATAAACCTAGCAGAAAATGCAAATTTAAGCAATATTTTTTCCAGTGATAATATTACATCCTATATTGGAGCAGCTCTGAACTGAAATATAGACAGATTGACCCCTTTAAGGACAAAATGCTGTGCAGGTCCCACCTGATTAACACATGCCTAAAGTACTTCATATAAACTATAACTAGATTTCTTTCTTTTAACCATATACAAGTATGTGAATTAAATTCATATACAAACCTTGTGTCCTTTCCAAGGTGTTTATCAATTAATTCCCTGGTAATGTTAATATAATGGTGCAATGAAATCTGATCTCAGATCCCAACAATCATGCTACCTGCCATGCCACATCTGCATTCCAGGATGTATGATTCTGGGGATTAGGCATCAGCTCCATTTGCAGCCTTTCAACTTGCCAGTGTATGTGGAGCCTGAGATCATGATCTTGCACTCCACTTGTACCAGCAAGTTCAAAGCCATAAACCCAACAGCCCAATGTGCTAATTGAGCCATTAATATAACATATACCAAGGGCCTGAGTGAACATCAATCTCTTTCAAACGTTTGTCTTATTACCAGCCTGTCAGCATTATTAATATAACACTGAAGCTCTTACCCAAGTATACTGAAATAAAAAATGGTTAACAAGAATTAATTTTTATGTCAAATCAAGAGCATACTGGTTAAAACCACACAATCTGATTCTTCTCACATCAACTTTACACTGAGGTAATTTCATGGACTTCAACAGGTTAGCTTAAAGGCTAACAACCTATGGCCCACAGACCAATGCATCCCATGACAAACTGAATCTGGCCCAAGGAAGCTCAGCATGCTCCAGCCAAAGTACCAGTGAAGCTGTCCCCAGGATCCCACCACCTGCCTTATTCTGTATCCCCCCCCACAACATCTGCTGATCACTAGGAACTACAGAGATTTGTGGCCCATGGCAGGAAGGGACTGGGTAGCAAGCAGGAGGCCATAGTGATAAAAGGTTGCCAACTCCTTTGTATGGTATTTTAATAACAAAACAAAGTGGGAACAAATCAAATGGTACAGCAAAGACAGAATTATGTCAGTGGCAGAGTCAAGTCTTCTAAGAGGTTGCACTATGGGGATGGTACTTCGAGAGATCCAAACAAACACACACAAAAAAAAAAAAATCAAGAAATTTTTTTAAAAAAAACTCAGCCTCTAATGAGAGTAAACACCAACTAAACAAAGACAGGCTTAAGATAATGGCACACAGCCTTCATTTTCTTGGATTTTTCACTTAATAACCAAAAGACTTTTGGGAGCAAGATGTTATAACATCCTGTTCTCTCCTAGAGAGACTCAGTGAAACATTAAATGTTCTTGAAGTACTATCCATCAATACCATAAAACTGGCAAACAGCCACTTAGAGTGATTAATACAATTCAACATAACTGTCCTCTAAGCTGAAATACATTTGCATAATTAGGGTCTCACATATTTACAAGATATTTTTATCCAAAACACATAGCAGTTGCAAAGAAGATTTAAAATATTAGCGTTTTCAGACTTTAATATTAAAATATATCCTTCTAACATAAAAAAATAAGTTTGGGGAAGGAATTCTCTAAATATGCAGATGAGGCAAATAATTTAGGATACTGTATTTTAGAAGAGCTATATGAGTTTCCTTTTAAAGTTTTCTTTCTTTTTGTTACACAGTTGGCTCATAAGTGTAAAATACCAAGGGAACAGTTCACTTCCTTTCCTAACAACAGAATCTTCACAGCTTTGTGAGTCATTGTCTCTTCAGCTGTGGTTGAAATCAGATATACAACTGATCATCTTTTCACTGAAGCCATTGACTTCAATTGGAGCAGAATCAGTATATTAGATAGAGATTCATAAATACAGTGTATACACATGCATTTATATACAAATATATAGATATATATAGTACAGAATATTTTATCCAATGAATTATAATGAATTTATATTTACCATCAGGTTTAATAATGTTTCCTAGGTCATAGACTAATTTACTAACTGAACAGGATCTGGTCCTTTTTTCCTGCTTTAAAATATTTGAGATGAATAGCTCTGCCATTAACTAAATAAAGGTTCCTGCTCTGGGTTTTGATACTAATATAAAATACAGAGTGGCAGTCCAAAATGTATAGAGTTAGATTTAGATTGGGAAGAAAGTAATAGAATCATAGAAAATGAGGGATTGGAAGGGACCTCAGGAGATCATCTAGTCCAACCCCCTGCTCAGAAAAGGACTATCCCCAACCAGATGGCTCTAGCCAGGGCTTTGTTGAGCCTGGCATTAAATCTTCCACCACCTCTCTAGGTAACCTATTCCAGTGCTTCAACACCCTCCTAGGCTAGGGACAGACATTCAAAAAGCCTAAGCCTGAATTGATTCAACCTTTGCAGGTTAGTCTAACCTGGCTAGGCTGAACTGGTTTCCAACAATACAAACGATCCCTTTGGACTTAGGAAATTCAGGCACATGCCTGCAGTGGCTCAGGCTAGAAGCCAGGTGGCACTACAGCAGCCCTCCCTTCCCTTGAAAAGCTGAGCTGAGGGGGTGTGGCCAGGTCCTAGCAGAATGCTTTGATTAGGAAAGGGTGGAAACCCCCAGCCTGCTTGCAGTCCCAGGCTTTTCTCAGCTTGCTGCTCAAGGGGCAGGAGTGTTGCCAGCCCCCAGACACCACTGAGGCAAAGGGGGTGTGTGCAGTTCATGCATCTGTTGATGAGATGGAGCTTTTCAATCTCCCTCCCTGCTTCTGTATACTGTGTGCAGCAAGCTGACAGGAAATCAAGCCGGGGGTGTGGGGACTAATAACAGTGTCATCCCATCTCAGTGTTTTTTGTCCCTTTAAGAAAACAGAGGGACATTACCAGCTACCTGTTGATTCAGCACTGACTCAGCATGTGGTCTGCTAGCTAATACACAGATACCTTCTCCGCAAGGCAGAGGGGATGGGGGAATTCCTGCTTAGCAGGGAGTGCTGAGGGGGAAGGGAGAAGCAAACAGCTCTTAAACAACTTTTCCAAGGAAGGACATTAAGCTACTTGTTGAATAGCTCCAAAAAGCCTGTCTGCCTCTCATCTCCCACAGCATGGACTGTAGCCAGCATGTGGTCTGCTAGCAAATGATCAGGTTTCTGTGAGGGATGGGGGAATGCCTGCTTAGCACAGAGTGGGGAGGGGAGTGGGAAGCAGAAGCCAGGCAGACACCTGCAGAGACTGCAAAGCTGCAGCCAGGGAGCAGAAGGGAGGGGCCAGCCCTGCTGTGGAACAGAGCCCCACCTAGTCAGAGAGCATGCCGGGATGCTGGGGGTCTGGGACAGATATTGGTTATCTTAAACCAGCAAGGGGTCTAGGACAGATATTGCATAAACCAGGTTGAGCCAAATCACTTAAGTCTGATAATACATTCAGCCAGATTTAGCTCAGACTGGTTTTACCCAAACTGGTTTATGTGCACTGAACATCTGTTCTGTTACAGGTTCAAACCAGCTTCTGTTCACTTAAACCAGTTTATATGTAATGTCTGTCCCTAGCCTTAATG